CAAGATCCAGTGGCTGCGAGATGAACTTCTGAAAGCGCTCCAGCTCCTCCGAATCCTGCTCTGCTTGGGGGTCTACCCTGGGCTTTACCTGAACTCAACCCTATACCCGCCTATTCCCTGTATGGGCTCCAGAGTAGTTCTTTTTCGGGGGTTCGTACTTAGGTTCCGACAAGGTAATCCCCAAAAAGGAACTACTACGGAGCCTATGGGTACACCTGGGCCCCAAAAGTATGTAGAACTACCGTCTTTTAGGTTTTCGGACATTATTTGGCCTAAGGTAATCCCAAAAAGGAACTACTGTACTGTGGAGCCTATGGGAAGTGTCGAGGCTTCCTGAACCAGGAGCTCCGGAAAGACCTTCTTGTTCAGGCAGTCGCTTCTCGACAAGAGCCTCAGCTATCAAAATCAACCGCCGGCATGTTTAGGGTTTGGGGTTTAGGGTTTAGGGGTTAGGATTCAGAAGCCTAAGGAGACTGAAAGCCCTTAAAGACCCAAACTCCCGCAACTACTGAGGCATGGTCGTCTGCAGCTCCATACAAAGTTAAAGTTGATAAGGTTGGCGGCTTGATGTTCGAGACTTGCCAAAGCTCCGCATGAAGTAGACAGTGTCACAGCCCCCACCCAAGACTCCGAAGATTAAGCCCTAAAAACCGAAGCCCAAAATATACTAGGCTGTCATGACTCCCTATGAATCCCGAAGCTAAACCTCAAAACCCGAAAAGGACCCCAATTCATGCCTTCAGCCCAAACCCTAGAAACTCTAAACCGTAAGCCGAAATCTCAAAACCGTGACATACTATTACTAGTACTATTACTATTAGACGCAGAGCCATCTCTGCGTCCTGAGCCCTGGAAGCTCTAAACCCGAAGCCCTGGAAGCTCTGAACCTCTGATCCCTGCATAAACAGACCCGCGGCCAGCCTAAACCCTAACACCTACCTAAAACCCCCAAAGTAGAATTTTAAAATCATGGCCCAATACCTATAAAAGGCTAGTGCCCTACATGGTTTTGGGGTGCAGGTATGGCCCAACACCCATAAAAGGCTAGTCTTCTACCCTCAACTCCCCTTGTAAAGAGATGCACACAGAGAGCCCAAACCCCCTTAATTAAGGAATATAGCCCTATATGGTTTCAGCCATACTCCTAACTTAAGTGGTATTGGGCTCGCTGGGTGCAAAGCGTAGACGCCAAGGAGCCGATTCAGGCAACTGCCTCCTTCCTTGATTGCCGCGAAAAGTTTCTGGGGTTTTAAGGTCTTGGGGGTGAGGCCTTGTAAGGATAGGGATTAGTAATATTACAGTAAGGTTCAGGGTTTAGGGTTAGGTTTCAGGGTTATAGGATATCGGGTTCAGGGTTAGGGTTTAGGGTTTAGGGTTTGCGGGGTGTTGGGCTTTGCTTTGGGGCTTGGTCAGAGAAAGCGAGACCCAACAGATCGAGTCTGGTGGCGCTTTAGAGACTGAGGCTCGGCTTTCGGTTTGCAGCTGAAAAAAGTGACGTGCAAAATCCAATCTACCTCTAAACCCAAAACCCTAAACATAGCCAACCCTCGAACTTGCTTGCTCGACGACCAAGCATCTTGTATGCGAAGATTGTCATCCAGCAGCACTTCACCGTCACAGACGCCTCGAAGCATCGGAAACCCCAAACCCAAAAATCAACCCTAAACCCTAAACCCTACACCCCCCAATCCCAAACCCTGGACCCCGAACTCGAAACCTCGAAGCATCTGTCGGAACGCAGAGATCATGGACTCGGCATCCGTGTTCCTGAATTGTGCAGCCAATCGGTCCCTGCGGGCTCCACGGCTTCAGCGTGACGGCTCTACGGCTCCGGGTCGGGGCTTAGGGGTTCGTGGGGACCCTTCGGGATCCGACGCCTCAGTGTTCGCTCCAGCACAACGGAGGAGATGATGACGAGAATCGCAATAGCTCCATGATCGAAAGCAAACTCCATGATGCGAAACTCCTTGGTGAGGGCACGTTCAAGCGTGCGGGCGCGCGCCGGCATCGGAATTGGCCAAAGGTCGTCTACACTATACTCACCCTCGGAACACATTGTCGTTAAACCGATAAACCGAAACAATGGCTTCCGAAATCACATGCTCACTCAAAGCAGCCAACCTCTGTCCCTCCGCAGGGGTCTAAAACAAAAGGTACGGTTGATGATATAAATCCAGCATCACCCATAATAAGAAATGTACCATAGTTCCCATAGCTTAGGGTCCTTAAGGTAATGCAGGATTTACATCATCAACCGTATGAAAGCAGTTCCAGAAGCCTACAGGCCCAAGTGCAAGGTCCGGGGCTGTTGGTGCTTTTGGGGTGACGGCACTGGGGATTAGTATGGCTTAGTGCTGGCGGTTTCTGATACAAGGTATTTCAAAAGGTCGATGAAGGCTTGAAAATTTGTTTCGGGTGTGCATGAGATGTCAGAAACGCTTAGGGTTTATAAGGCATTGCACAGTCTTCGCTACCTGAAGCTAACCCCAACGAAGGTACTTCTAAGCGCGGCCTATGATCCTTTAAGAATGGCTTTGGATCTGAATCCCAAGGGTCTTTGCCATGGAGCATGAACCCGTGGCAAATCCGACCCAGCACCATCAGAAGGCTACCCGGAACGTGAACGGCACTGTCGATATAGCAGACGCAGGCCTTGAGTTGGCTTCGTGTATATTCTAGTATACCTACAACCAACATCGTAGTTACATTTCATAATAAAAGAGCCACTAATATTGGTTGGGCAATCAAAAGGGTGACTACAGATAAGTTACTGCTCTAGTCATTTCCTCTTTTTGCCATGGAATAAAACTTGTAAAAAAAGCTGAAACCCTGCAATGGGATCTTCATTAACAAATTCCATGGTAGTTCGTTTTGAGAATACCAGGGTTCTAACTATGAACCCCCCAAAAAAGGAAGGAACTATGGAGCTTATGGGTATTTGGTGAATATTCGAACTAGTGCATGTACAACGCGAATGTCGGCGAATACTCAGGCCATTATATCAACCCCGACATGCTAACCCCTGAACGCTGTACTATCTGGGCGGCTGTCAAAATTTTGGGTACCAGATATATTAGGTGCCGTACTAATATTAGGGACCCAGAGAGGGGCCATAGTTTTGACAACCACCTATCTGGCATCTGAGAAGCAATGAAGTGATAGACCAGGACGGCCCTCTGGGAAACGCCACTTTCTGGAAACCAAATACCTGGGTTCCATGCACGGAGACAGAAACATGCGAAATGTGGGGCCCACGGAGAAAGAGCAATGCGAAATATGGGGCCTTGAATGAATAGAAAAGGGTTTAGCGGCCTATTATAGTCTACATACTACAAGGGGCCTGAATAGCTACCTACACTATTTTGGGGGGGTTCCTGATTATATTTATAGTATAATGGGCCTCAAGACCCTAGTCTAATTATTAAGGCCCCTACAGTATGCCAAGGAACCTCAAGGACTACTGTTTGGAAACTGTTCGGGCTTCCATAAACAGTATCCGACAACAGTAAAAGCACACAACTCTCCAGAACCAGATGCTCACAAGCATCAAGGCATAGTAGAAACAGATGAGCTTGCGCAGGCCTGACGTCGACAAGGCGACAGTTCCCTTAGCCACCAAGGAGTTCATCGTGTAGGCGGAGGTGTATGCGAACAGGAAGAGAGCACATGTCTGGCGATCTTGAGCCTGCACGAAAGGGCAAGTGATCATCGAAGCAAAGTTACCATGCCGCAAGAAGCGGCATGCCAGAATAAAGTTCCTCTCCCTCAGTTGTCGCATCGCATTGTCCAGTCGTTTCTCGTGAAGGCTAGCAGCCGGTCGATGCTGCCAATATTTCCGTGCCATCGATAGCAAGTCTCTCAAATCCTGACCGCTCGTCGCCCAGTGAATAGTCCCAAGTACGATCAAGAAGCTCAGCCATTCGGAAAGTTCCATGGCACTAAAGCCAGCGTGGCCTCCGTGTTTGAACCAGACAGAGTGTGCTGAGAAAAAGGCGATTGCAATGAAGCAGTGAGTTATAAGTCAATCAAAAAGCACTGTATAGGTCGACAAAGCCCATAAACTCCCCACATCTCTGCCAATAGTCAAGCCCTGTTGATCCTTCGACTCTGAGCGGGAAACGATCGGGGTTCGGAGATCTTGATCTACCTTGATGAGTTGCAGGCTCTCGAAGAACCCGAACGCCCCAAACCCTGCACCCCAAACTCAAGCCGACACCCTCGACTCTGGACCGCTCAGACTTCGGAGACCCCTCAGACTTCGGGCTGCGGATCCAGATTCAAGATACTACGGTCTATACCCCCTCAGAACCATAGTAATCATAAGGTTTTAATTTTCTCTTGGGTGTTATATGAACAACAATCAAAAAGAAGTCCCACAATAAGGAGACTATAGCAGTTAGGGTAGGCCTTCACGGTTTACGGTTGAAGGCACCCTTTTTTAACGTCTGCGTATGGCATGGGATTCACTAGCCCATGACGGTAGTCTACAAGGTTCAGGGGTCTGGTTGCTCTATGCAGCGGAAGTTTGGGAGCCTAGAAGACTAGCTAGCTGTTCATTCATGCATGAAACCTCATCTATGATTTCAGTCATCTACCATCATCAACTTGTACATGCTGCCCAATATGTTTCATGACACATGCACTGCTTCGGTCTGTCATGGTTGGCATGCGTGCGTACAGATACTACCAGCTTTCTATAGGGACCTTAATAATAAGAATAGGGTCCCTTTATACTAGACATGACAGTACGGAACCCCCAAAATAGTATTGGGAATGATTTAGGCCCCTATAGTACACGGACAAGCAGGCCGGGCAGGCAGGTAGGCAGGTCGGCAGCCATGAAGGTTGCATGCAAACATAGGGCTGATGAAGGACATGTGCCGGTACGCATGTGTATAGACATGTGCATGTGTGTGTATATATATATATACACATAGAGAAACAGAGATGTACCACGAACATCTGGAATGACTGTCGTGCCGTGTCAGCTTGTGCCAGGCCTCAAGACGTGGTTGATCCGCGAGTAGTATGCTTGAGCTTTGACATTCCTTAGATCAGGCAGGTGATTGAGTAAGGTGATTCAACAAATTAGAAGATTTGGAGGATAAGCGTAGCTAGTAGGTATGGCTAGAAGTATCTTCATTGAGGTGACAGGCTAGGGGCACGCATAACAAACTTGCTCTCGCGGAAGACCTAAAACTTAGTTTAACTACACTGACAACTACGTGCTCTTGTTCATATACGCTTGCACCTGCTTCTCTGCCTCCATCATGTTCATTGCTTGCTTATGTATTGTTGTCTAGCGCGGTGCAATCTGCTTGCAACTTCGTAAAACAATGGGCGGCTCTTGAACTCATACAGCCTGCCCACTTGTTATGTATCGGTTTGGGGCAGCGGTGTCTGCACCCAGCCAATATGCTTTAAATTGCACGTATGTGGCATGAATCTTTCTTCTTATGATGATGGTCGTGTGCTTGGCATTCAGTTTCTAGTGCTGCTGATAACAATGATGGTGAACATAAGATGAAGAAGAATGAGACTCTTAGGATGCATGTTTAGATGATGGTGATAATGAGGATGCCGAGGCCGGCGCTTGTGATTCAACTGTGGCAGTGGCTCGTCTTGCAAACGTGTTGATTATTGTTGTAAAGGGGTGCCTGATTACTGAACCGAGTGATCATCTTTTTCTCATTCGTTGAACTGCTGTCGCAGAAGCGCAGCTTGATTTCTCATTGCTGTGCATCAATCTGCTTCGGAGTCTGTTGATATATGGTTCAGAACTACGCCCAGTCTCGTCCCGATCTTCATTGCTGGAAAGTCGGGGGTATCCACCGCCTCTGCGCAGCTTCCGCTTACGGGCTCCAGATGGGAGTCATGGTGGGAGTCTTGCGAAGCGCCTAATATAGGGGCCTTAATACTTAGGAAAGGGTTTTCAGGCCCATTGTACTATTTTCAAAAAAAGGAACATCCAAAACAGTATTGGCATTGGTATTTATTTCAGCCCCTATATTAAACTCTCGTAACAGCCATCGAACTTGGCGCCAACATCACGACCCTTCACGGCAGGATTGACCGTTGTATTTGTCAGGGTCCCCTATTCGTAGATCCCCAAACAGTATGTTAATCCTTATTTCCGGCCCTATACTTTGGCTGTCTGGGCCGTGAAGGCCACAGGTTCGGGCTTTGGATGTTTATGGACCCTCCCTCCGAAAAGATCGGCAAATAAATTAAACAGGATGAATCGGATTTCGGCGCATATACCTGCATAGAAGGGAACTTTAAGAGGATGTAAATACCAGTTGCTATGCTGCATAATCCGATTCACCTGCTTCTGTCGCAAAACTTCATTCCGGACTCGGAGTTCTGCAACCCCAAAGCTCCTTTTTGTTGAAGCTTCGTTTTTGAGCCATGACACCTCCGATTCATGAAGAAACTCACTTCAAACTCACTTCCGGCGCACCTCCACCGACGCTTCCGATATCCGCAGGTCACCGATCTGATCCTCAGGAAACGTGTGTATGAGGGCTTAGAGGTAGCGTATTATAGGGGCCTTAGTATATAATTAGAATAAGGTTTCGGGACCCATTATACTATAATGATAACAAGGAGCCCCCCAAAATAGTATTTTTTGGACCCCTATATTATCACGGGTTAGAGGTAGAGTATTTGTGTTGCAGGAACACAGGAGCAACCGCTCGGATACGTGTGCTCACACTTCACTTCCTCAACAAATGCCATGGACCCAAAAGCCGGCACCCCAAGCTACCCTAAACCCTAAACCCCTAAACCCTAAACCCCTAAATCCTAAACCCTAATGAACCCCTAAGCCCCTAAACCCCTACCCCCTAAACCCTAAATCCTAAACTCTTGTAAAGCCCAGTGGCCAGAAAGTCTCTCTCAAAGTCGTGCAGTAGAAGCACTCCGAGGCCTGGCTTCGCGTGAAATCAGGGCACCCCAAGGAAAATATGGGTGGTTGTGAAAATTAGGGTCCCCTTTGGGGTACTCTAAATATTAGGTGCCGTAGTATATGAAGGACCCCAAAAGGGACCATAATTTTGACAACCACCCATATGTGGACTTGGGGGCCGTAGTACTTTGAATAGGGTTCCTTTAAGGGGTCGTACAAAGGGTCCTATAAGGGTTACTACAATAAGGGGTATTGATTAGGGTCTCAGCTTCATGAATGACCAAACTAGGGTGTTGGGGCAGAGTATACCAAAACCACGTTCAGGAAGCCTACGGAATAGAATTATTAAACATTCGGGTATGTCCTGTATTTTACAAGCATTGTTGTTGGGATCCATTGTTAGAGTGGCCATAAAACCCTACCCCCCACCCCGACAAACTTTCAGAAACCTCCATTCTGCGAAATCAGCACTCAAAGTTCTATCCAGAGAGTCCTACAGCGCCTGCAAGAGGAATCTGCGTGTACCCTGAACTGCAAATGCAAAGCCAAACACTCGTCTCTAAACGGTATGTCTTAAACTATAGATTTTCATGCCTTGAAGAATTACAGAGGTTTCGAGAGTCTGGGTCGGGTGTTTAGGGACAAAGGAGCTCATGCGTCAAACCTTCAAGCTTCTCAAGCTTATCATAACATGCTTCTTTGCTTTAGACATCTTTATACTCCAGACCCACAGACGAAGAGCACTGAACCTTCAGCACACACAGACAAAGAAAACATAACAGGAATGAACATGCCGAATAACACTAAACCCCAATAACCCTAAAGCCTAATAACCCTAAACCCTGAATCTGCACCGTAGCTCGGCTATGCTGCTTGGCCCGCGCCTGCGCTGCTCGCCCTTCCTGTGCGGCCCACTCGGTGGATGTACCTTGTTTAAAGGGCGGGGTATCTAACACGGGCGTTGGGTTGTTCAACCTCGTATACCGAAGACAGAGAGAGAGAGAGAGAGAGAGAGAGAGGGAGAGAGAGAGAGAGAGAGAGCGAGAGGGAGAGGGAGAGGGAGAGGGAGAGGGAGAGGGAGAGGGAGAAAAACAGGGAGCGGGAGAGCAAGAGAGAGAGAGAGAGAGTTTGAGGCTTGGGGGTTCAGGAATCAGGGTGTGGGGATCAGGGTCCAGGGTGGTAGCCGAACACCCCATAGTTGAGAAGTATACCTGCATAAGGCATAACTGTACCGAATTGAGGCTATTGCTAAGCAGAGGTAGGGGGAGACTTTGAGGCTTGGGCTTACTGCATCTTACAAGATCCGACAAGACACTGTTAAACAAACATGTGAGAGCTGATCACCTCTTTGAAGAAATTGAAACAAATCGATGTTGATAGCTGCGGTGCTCATCGCGGCCATCTGGGGCACCAACCTGCGTCAGAAGAGTTTGGGGTTTACCGGAACCTTGCAAAATGCACCTTCTTAGGGTTCTCATAGGTCCCGTTTAGGTTCGGCAGTACGATTATATATCTATATATACATATATACATATATATGATTTCCTCACACATGTCCTCAAAGAGGGTCCTTAAAGTCGAATCGGGGATTGGGTAGGGCCGGTTTAGGAACTCCGGCCCTGGGATGCTTTTCAAGGGTTCACTTTCAATTTCGTTTTCCTTTTTGTATGAATCGAAGGAGGTTTAGGGCTCCTTTAAGCCACCAGGCCCTGAGCCTGAAGCTCAAAAACTGACGCGCTCTGTTTTACTTGGAGGTTCATGGGTAGTTATAATTGGGGTCATAAGTCCCCCAATGTGGGTTATAAGTATGGTTATCCTACTTATATCCCTACTTATAACTACCCATGAACCTCCAAATACCGACCCCAGGAAACCTGTTACAAACCAATATGCAATCCTGAAGCACGTTCTCTCGAAGCCTCCGCCTGAAGTCAAATTCTCAACACATCCTTGTGGGACCTAACAGCCCTCTGGAAACTGTGCATGGTTTCGGGTTAGGATTTAGGTAGAGAGTTTAGGGCATGTTTACACAGGGCCTTGAAGCAGTTCGGAAAAGCCCCTATCCGTTGCCTGTATCACAGCGGTGACACCAGGGTAATCCAGGCCCCTGCATCGTTTGGCTCGGAATCTCACCGCGAAATCTCTCTGGGCTGTTGCAGCCTATGCTGACACTCCTGGATTGAAGCCCAGCTGTACAGAAAAATCTACATGGTCTCTAAGCGAGGGAGGTCACAACAAAGAAACGTACCACAATCCACCCTAACCCTACACCCTACACCCGCAACTTAAGCATGAGGTTCTGGATTTAGTGCAAGCCATCTCTTGGCTCAGTTTCAATCCAAAGATCACCAATGATGTAAAGCCTTGGCGACTAGAGAATTGTGCCTTGGGGGGGGGGGGGGGGGGGGGGGGGAAGTTGAAGTTTACATAACACACAACAAGGACCCCTAACAACTGGTATATCAAACCAGGGTAGATTTGCCGATTCAGCATCCTATGGCCAAGATTGGCCGTAACAAACCGAAGGGTCCATGCACCCAAATAGTCTATGCTTTGGTATATAGGGACTACTTTCGCTACTTTCAGGCCATCGCATATAGTGTTTGGGTGCATGCACCCTTAGGGTAAGGTGCACTACGCGCCAGGGTTTAAAACATAATCGATGGGTGCTTTAACCAGCCCGAAACCTGCTTGAAACCGCCACCTACTCTTTATTATCACCTACATGCCCGCTGGTGAAAGCCTACTACTAGAAACGAAACCCCGAAGCAATAATTAACTACCAACATGAAGCCCAGACTAGCAATTACTATCAAGGGCCACCTGCCCGCATTTGAGGGTATATAGAAGGAAGATCTTGGCACCCGTTCTTATGAGCCCTGCTCAGATCATGAAGTTCTGATCACATGCAGACCTTGGGCCCAAACTTCCTATCCATGAATAAAAGCTCTACCTGCAGCCACAAATCCTATCATCTACATGAGGTTTATACAGAAGCCATGATGCCATAGTGGAAATCCACACAACAGCAGGTCTTTGTTTGGGCCATGGCTACAGGCAGGAAATGAACCAGCATTGAGGAGCTGCATTCCGCGTACTTGTCCACTATAGGCGCCTTAGCAGTTAAAACAAATTTTGGGGCCCCTTATACTATAACTATACTTTAATATCGAACCCACAAAATAGTTTGTGGTAATTGTCTTAAAAGGCTCCTAGATTTCTACCCGACGCTTTTGGCTCAAGACGCTGGTCCTTGAGGTTACGTCCGATGTGAAGAGGATTCCGCTCTCGGCAGCTCGAAAACCGTCCTTCAAGAACCAAGCACTACTCAAACTATTTCTTATTACTCATTATTGATAATGTTAGTATTTTGCATTTGCTGTTATTATTCAAACTAGTATTGCTTTTTCTTATTATTCATTATTGATAATGTTAGTATATTGCTACTTGCTGTTATTGGTCTTTTCTTCTTATCATCCTTACTGCGATCATTATTGTTGTATTACTTACCGTTATCAGGCGGTCGATGTTGGGGGGGGCATGTGCCTCCGTGTATTTCCAGTGCAACCGACACATGTACGCCATACCTGGCTAACTTAGGCTGCGAATTGATTTGGTGCAATTTGCGTTCAGGGTGCTTGTGTTTGCGCTTGGGAAACGGTGCAGCAAACTAGAATGACGCTGGTGCCCGGGCCTCTCGTTTTTAGAGCTACTTATTGCTCCTCTGATTACTATCACTGTTACTATTTATTACTACTGTTAACATTAAAACCATTATGATTACTAACTGAAAATAGCTAGGTGTAGCAAGTTCGTATATCCTGCTTCTATGTACTGCTAATGCTACTTCTACTAGTAAAGGAAAATCAGGTTAACCATGAACCGCTCAACTGAGTCCAGCTTCCGACTGAACTGTCCGCTGCTGCTGCTTCCTTGGTTGCTGGCATGCCGGAGCTGCACAGCCATACTCAAACCCACTAACACGACGCCCAAAGGTTACAAGCTACCTAAACTTCTAGTGCCAAGCCAGGGAAAAGAAGTCTAGACGCCAAGGTAAGGCGGGAAAACTGCTCTTTAAACGACGCACTTCTGAGCTCAGAGCAAAGGGTGTGAGGATTGGGGCTTCGAGTATGATGGCTATATATAGCATGTAGCATGCTGAAACTTTAACACGGCATCACCGAGGTTCGGTTTGGAGGTACATAAGCTGACATGTATAAGGTAATCACGGGTACAAGCTTCTGATGACAGTGGCTGCTTGCGTTGTGTTTTGTGCACAAGCATGTGAGAAGTTCTCACTCTCAGGATGTGACAAACAAAACAGTAACAATGGAGAGGGCCTATCCCTGCATGTGTAAACGTAGGCGCATAATTATTTACATATATACATACATGGTCATGCACGCATACATGACCATGCATGCAGTCATACTTCTTACTTAGATTTGCCTACATACAAACGCACATATTTGCATACCTATTTAAACACGTAGCACTCGCCTGTACGGAACATGTACATGCGCTAGTTCTGTCTGTGTGTACATATGTACGCAGACACATATGTACTCACACAACTGTATAAACAGGCAAAGCTTATTAATTACTAGTTGGTTGGTTAAATAAGACAAATTTCTTGACTGACCAATTAACTACGTGATTGAATACTGAATTAACGAACAAACTATCTAGTTATCTAATTTGTCAATCAACTAACGAACTAGCTGGTTAGTTAGTTAGTTAGTTAGTTAGCTAGTTAGTTAGTTAGTTAATACTCAGTTCATCTATTGTGAGCTACTGAGTCAAGCAAGTATATGGACCTGCATTTGTGTTCACATCCTTCCATCCCTCCGTACTGAATGCATGCACTGACGATCGAGTTAAGAACACACGGGTGACAAAGTACACATCTACATATGTAGTCATATTATATGCGTATACACATATATATATATATATGTACAACAACTCTCTGCAAGCCCAATATGCCACGTGTGGTCCCTGAGGTTTTGCAATGCTTTCACGGCTCGGGCTTCACGATTATTTTGGCTTCTTCATAACACTAACGCGACAGGTTTAGAACGGGTGGTACAGGGTGTGCAGTGCAGGATGGTATAGTGTGTACCCTAAGGCCCCAAAGTAGTTCCTTTTTGGGGGGTTTCATATTTAGAATCTTATGAGGTAATCCCAAAAGGGAACTACTATGGGGCCTCTGGGCAGGCCTCTGGACAGGTGCTGAAATTGCAGGCAGGCTGCAGCCGCGAGTGAATCTCGTAGACCTGTTTCGCATGAGACTCCATACCCTTGCATTCAAAGACCACCATGTCGACGGGATGGGACTGCCAGTTCATGCAATGAAACGCCGCAGCTGATTTCCATAAACAGGACCGAATATGCGGAGCCATGCTTGCTGAAGGGGCCTTTAGGCTTAACAGCAGAAATTTGGAATGGGCTTTCGGGGTATATTATACTACAACTTTGATGTGGAACCCTAGCAGTATTTAGTAAACTCTTCGAGCTCCTACATTACATGTCTGGACCCCTCCTTCGGACATGCCAGCCCCCGCAGATGAAGCACACGGAAGACAAGGGGCAGAGTCTGCGAAGGCTGCACCACCACTTGGAACGACGCACGCACACAAATCTTAACATTGAAACCAACACCTTTAAACGTGAAAGGCCTTCCTGTTTTGCCCTGTGAACACTTCAAGTTTAGGGAAAGGAAACCACTGAACCTCTGAAACCAGATCCCTACAACACCCTGCAGCAAGCTGTGCCGCAGACTTTCATCGAGCAAATGCCCCGAAATGCCAGGGGCACCCTTAATTAGGTACAGTTAAGGTACATTCCTTCAATACTGGCCTCCAAGCCAACGCCAGAAAGCCGAAACGCCTCGGAAGCTGAATCGGGCTGGTGAGGGTAAGAGGGTTTACCCTAAGGCCCCAAAGCAGTTCCTTTTGGGATTAATATTTAGAATCTTATGAGGTATAATCCCAAAAAGGAACTAATATGGGACCTCTGGGTAGAGACGTAAGTTTCCTGATTGCGGTGCTTTTCAGAACTAGGGATCCTTACAGCAGTGATCATGCTATCAAATTGGGCTTCATGTCAGGCCCCTTGTGGAAACACTGGGATCTTCCTAAAGCCAGGCTGAGAGTATCAAGGTAATATAGGGGCCTTCATAATTAGAATAGGGCTCCTTTAAAGGGGTCTATAAGGGCTACTATAACTACTATAAGGGTTACTACAGGGGCTACTATGATATAGGGGCCTGAATAATTAGAACAAGGTTTTGGGGTATGGTATACCGAACATATACTTTAATATGGAACCCCCGAAATAGTATTGGCAATTATTTAAGCCCTATGTTACATCTAGTGAAGAGAGTACCTCATCTAGCGGAAAGAAGCCGACCATGTCTACTCCGTACTTGGAGGTTCATGGGTAGTTAGAAGTGGGTTATGAGTCCCCTAATATGGGTTATAACTATGGCTACGCTACTTATAACCCTACATATAACTACCCATGAGCCTCCAAGTAACCCCCTATAGACCCCAAACACTATGCTCTGAATGCCAGTGGCCCAAGAGACTGGCCCTCTACCCATTCTACTCGCCGTGATGCAAAGAATGTGGGAGTTTCTTGGATTTTTAAGGTACTATAGGGGCTTCAATAATTACCAATACTTTTTTTTTGGGGGGGGGGGTAGCGGGGTGCCTTATATTAATTATAGTATGAAGGACCCTGAAACGCTATTCTAAGTATTAAGGCCCCTAATACTACTTTGGGGCGTGTGGGGGCGAGGGCCAAGGCGCACGGGAATTTGAGGGCTGCCGGGTGTAGCGCTAAGGGGCTAAGGGGGAGTTTCGGAAAATTAGGGGGGGTTCTTAAAAGGGATCTATAAGGGCTCCTTTAAAGGCTCCTATAGGGGATCTACAGGGTTTAGGGTTTGGGAGCTTCCGAAAATTAGGAGGTACCTCACTTTGGGGCCTTCTAATCAGGATCCTACTATTTGGGGTACTAGATTAGGGTCCCCTATTTTCGGAAACAGGGGGCTTTGGGCTTCGGGGTTTGACAAGCGATTTTGGGGTGTTGGGACCGGGATGACGATTACGCGACCGACCCGACACAACCCTCCGACCAGCACCTTCCGTCCTGCTTTGAAAACGATAGGATATCGGAGGTAGGAATCACGAACTGGTGGCCTCAACCCTAAACCCTAAACCCTCTCTTTCCCGAACCCCAACATCCCAAGCTCCACACCGCGCCTCGGCATAGTAGGCCGCCACACGGCCCGTCAGGAAGATCGCCTCGGGCGGCAGAAGCGTGGAGCCCCTGAGCTCAAACACTAGATGGATGGTTGTCAAAATTAGGGTCCCCTTTTTGAGCACCCTAAATATTAGGTGCCGTATTATAATAGGGACCCCAAAAAGGGGACCATAGTTTTGACAACCACCCAGATAGAGGCTGATGCCTGCCCAAGCTCTGAAAACGACGGTGCACCCGAACTCGCCTGTTGGGTTGGGAATTCCCTGAACCCCTGGACCAAGTAATACATTCCAAACAATCTGGCCGTTCATGGTTTGGGCATGCGGCATGCCCCTTCAAAATCCGCAGGGCCAACCAAACCCTAAATTTTACAGTAAGCCCCAAACCCCCTGAGCCCTAAACCCATACTGGATCCTCCTCTCGAATTCTACAGGGCTTTCGGTCACAAAGCAAGGGATCAGGTTTGCAGCCAAAGGCCCTAAACCACCAAGCTCGAACACTCACTAACACTCGAGAACCCTGAAACCCTGAAAACCCCTTGCGAGAATGCTGAGGCCGCATCCACAATCTTTGGTGGCATGTCCTGGAAATGCTTCTTCGCCTGGATCAAGGACCCTAGGTCTATGTCGGGTTTAGGCTGCACGGACCTAAGAATCAGCCCTACCTAGACCCTAAATGTAGTACCTTGACTTGGTTACCATAGCTGGCGGTAGAACTGTCAAGAATACATGATGGGTGATTTCTCTGCGGTCCACGGCCTTGCATTCATGGGGTTAGCTATGGGGAGTAGCATCTAGCAGTTAGGGTGTTCAAGGTTAAGGATTATGCTCTTCAGCAGAGTACTGGGACAGGCATCTCATCTTATTCATCAGAATAGTACGTGTGGGCACATTGTGCTTTGATGTAATGCGATGGGGGTGTAAGAGGATATTGCTAATACTTATTCCGACACCAAACCATCTATGCAAGTCTAGGTTCACAAGCAAGCACAAGACAGTATAAACTTACCCTGTGCCCTAAAGTCCTTAAACTGGGTTTACAGTCTACAGTTTAGAGGGCTGGCCTCAACCCTCAGCCTAGACCGCGTGCACTTGCAATCCGGCACTCCTATCAAGAAGCGTAGAACGTCTGCAAGCCACGATAAGATCCTGTAAGACCATCTCAACAGCGGCAGGTGGCCGACAGCACACAGCGCCAAAAGGCCGTGGTCATGTCTTCCGTCGGCACCACTTGGTAGGTCTGGACCTGAACGGAGATCGTTTTTTTAGGTGCTTTTGTGAATCTGGGGTTGGGTCTGGAAGTTTACATGGACCCTAAGGAACCTATATTTTTAATGTTTTTTTTGTTTATATAACTACCGAAAAAGGTTGGTTATTTGGGTTTATAAAGCTTAAGTAAGGGTTCAGAGCTGACGCTCTCGAGGTGCTTTTGAGGACAAGGGTTCTAAAAAAGCTACAAGCTTTCTTTTGAGGGCTTCACACGGGTGACTGTCGTGCTTATATAGGGGTTAGGGATAGCAACAAGGGTTTGGGTGCGAATTGGATGTAAAACGTAACTGACGTTGAATACGCTGATAGCAACACAGCACGACGAACTAACACGATAATCATGTAAGTCATAGTCTCATAGTGGAGCATGAAGCCTTAGGCCAGCTTTCTCAAAACTCTGTGCTTGCGGAAATCAGGGACCCTAACACAAGCCTTAAAAGTTAAATCCTGATGCGAAAGACACCGAGAGGGAATCGCTACCTTACCACATGTCATATGCCAGGCAGCAATGCTCTCCGGAACCGACACATCTTCGCGCGCCAGCATATCTTCAAATGTATACTGCGGCGCGACCTGCGAGCACAAACCTTGCACCCTTACTGCCTGGCAAAACAAGCGGAAAGCTAAGTTCCGAACCCCACACCCCCTCGACCTAGACATGTGTAGTGGAGCCCAAACCGTCCATCCCGCCTAAAACCGACCTTCCAGTGTGTTTTGGGGAGTCGTTTACGTAGCTGAGCCGCAGACATGTGAGCTTCAAGGGCGCATTGGAGTCGCGGAGAGTTTGCCAAGCATAACACGTAACAGTAACAGCGTGAGAAGCTTTCCCAAAGGTACTGTTATGGGGGATACTTTCAAATCATAATGGTAACTCCTAATATGAACCCTACATTTTATTATGCAGGTATTTTGGACCCTTTGGGTTTGGGTGCGGGGAGACTTCATGCTTGCTACGGAGTGGTCCTTCGCAGTTTCGGAATGTTTTCAGACCCCTGTCGGTGCCTAGGCCCATGAGTCACACCCGCACAAAATAATATGATGTTCATATGCCCAGTGATCCGACCACTACGGCGCATGTCTGAAACCCACCGCAGAAAAGAAGAAGGAAAAGGTATAGGGCAAGCAACTCCGAATCTTCCAGCACAAGGTAGGACTCAACCACACAGTCTGTGAATCCTGAGAATACCCAGTTGGGAACATGAACGTAAATCAACTCAGAAACGCGCGAAACGTAAACCCAAAGCTTAGATGCCGAACAGAAGTCTGACGCATCTGCTGCCTTGGCGATGAGCTGCTGAACATCCTGCACCACTGACTCTCATGAAGACTCCAAAGCCCTTGAATTCAGGAATAGACCTTAATCATATTACGTACTAGGGATCCTAGCATAATTCATTACGGTAAATATATTCCTTTAACTAATTATATTCTTAGGGATTCTCGTATAGTTTGAGATATGATACGATATGATACGTCAGACCCTAAGGGTCCATGTACCCAAATCGGGATTCTTTAAGAGCTCCCGCAAGGGATACTATGAGGGTTCTATAGGGGCTTTATAGGTTTAAGGGTCCATGTACCCAAATAGTAGTATACTTTGGGCTCAATGTACCTATATAGGGAGTACTGTAAGGCCAATGTATATACTATTTGGGTACATGAACCCTTACGGAAACATGTTTCAGGACTGGGGTGCCTCCATGAGATATATACTGCACAAAAGCTCTTCATCAACAAACAAAACACAAGGGGCCTTCAAGAATCCCAACCGTGTGTTTGGTTGGTATTCCCTAAGCAACCATGCACTCAACTTGCATATACATTGGCCTCAAAGATCCTTAAAGTACTCCCTGTATAGGTACATTGAGCCCAAAGTATATAGAATTTGGGTACATGGACCCTTAGGGATTGCAACAGGAAGCCTAAGGAACAGCATTCAGTGCTGGTACCTATTCCGACCCCTACATTCAATGCCTAACACCCCAGAAACTCTCGAGTCCCGAATCCCTTACTTGGAGGTTCATGGGTAGGTATGAATGGGGTTATCAGTCCCCTGAACATGGGTTATATCTATAGCTATCCTACTTATAACCCTACATCTAACTACCCATGAACCCTAAACCATATACCCTTATCGAGCCCCGATAGATCCCTTTAAAGGACCCCATGAACCCTACTTATAGCTACCCATGAACCTCCAAGTAGTGGTTGCAGACCTCCGGGCCTCCCTCCGCCAGGTTTTTGGTCATACCTTGCATACTGCCCCCCCCATACAGTAACAGTCTATAATAGGGCTACTATACAGGGCCTAGGATATCTATACTATGAACACTATCCAACTGTTACTGAGTGGGAGCAGTACCCAACTCATAACATTCATGTAGACCCACCCGACTTCCTGTGTTGTTTTCAGGTATAGGCTTTAAGGTTTGGGGTTTATTGCTCTTTTGAAGCCAAACCTACAGCCTCAAACAAAGCCCTGAACCCTGAACCCTAAACCAGATCAGACCTACAGCAAAAAGCCGTTTTGCCCCAAGCACCCCCCCATACGCCCCGCACTCTTAAAGGAACCCTGGCTCCTCTGAAATCGTTGCCGAGTAGAAGAGATTCTGGCGGTCTCCGAGATCAAGAGCTTCGAGGATGCTCCCGGTCACCTGAAAGGGCTTGTGCGGTTGAATACAGGGGCCTCAATAATTGCAATAGGGTTTTGGGGCCCGCCATACCATAAATATACTAAGGAACCCACTAGATAGTGTGGCCCCTGTCTTAGGGTTGAAGATTAGGTTCACAAGGTTTAGGACGTTTGAGCTGTAATCTTCGGCACTTTGTATTTGTCATTGTCACCACTCGAGGGCTTTAAGGCATCAGGGGCTTGGGGTTATGGACATAGCTCTTCAGTAACTTTAGGTCCGTAAACCCTAGATCCTATTGTAGAGCGGTGGAGTGCTAAGGTAAGCGAGGCTTCCCTGTCCTAATTTCAAGCAATCAAAACCCACATAGTGGAACTCTCGGAAATGACCCTCCCTGGCCTCGCCGAAGAGCTCACCAGACAGCTGGTCCGCTTCGTCCAAGACGAGTACCTGCCTTCGTCGAAGTCGGTCCGACACCCGGGAAGGGATCGAATTTAGGTTTGTGGTGGGTTCAGAGTTTAGGGCTCGGAGGTTCAAGTTTTAGGGGTTTCTTAGTTGAGGTTCCAATTTCAATTAGTAAACCAGCTCTCCAGAACGCTCCCGGTACCCTGTAGCCTGTAACAAGGTTATATGGCAAATGTGGCACGTCAGAGGAGGTATTTTGGGTGGGCATGGTCGATGATGGTAGATGAAGTCTTGGTAAGCGCATTAAACATGCGTGAGACTGAGAGTTGCATGAGCCGTTTGCCAAACACATGGGCATCAAACGCCTGCACACCGAAGCCGTCTCAACAACCCGAGACCTTAAAACCTCAACGCACGGAACAAAAACGTGTAAAGCCCCATGTAAGCCTTATGAAACGCTACAGCCGTCACAAAAGCACTATGAAACCTTACACCGCAGAAACACCCCGCCGGGTTGCACTCTGGAGAGACGCTGCCGAAAACCGGCAGTCTTATCCAGGTGCGTCTGCAAGCGGCCTGTTACAGAAAGAATGGTTTATATAGGCCTAGGATTAAGCAGAACAGGGAAATCAGAGGCTACGTAGTAGGAGTGTTATTGTAAGGGCCAAGCTATGTATATGTGTGTATATTTGTTCATTGAGATATTTTATTATTATTATTATTATTATTATTATTATTATTATTATTATTATTATTATTATTATATATATATATATATATATATGTAGAACTGTGTTGGCACCCGTGTTTGAAAAGGTATTTACGCTTGCATACACATGCAAATACTTGCCTCGGTTTCGTTTCTTACAACCGTGTTCTCTCTTATCTCAACAATCAATGTTTCTTACATTTGCTTACACTTGTTTTCGTAGCTAATATCGATGTATAGACATACACACATGGGTATATGTATGTATATATGTATGTATGTATGTATGTATGTATATATATATATATATACATACATATACATATACATATACATATACATATACATACGCAGATAATCAACCAAAGCTTGAATATGTGTAAACATGTAACATGTGAAGATACCCATCACCAAAATCTGTACATACAAGTATGCGATTGTGATTCCGGTTCAGCTGGCCAGGAAGCAACACAGAAGGTCTCAAACAATGGACGGTTTCCTGAAGGGCAGCGGATGACTCAAGCCCAACCACCCCAAATCCCGAACCAAAACCCTGAGCCCTGAGCTATTCTACCCAGAGCCCTAAACCACTAAATCTTAAACCTTCAAGCCCTAAGACCCAAACCAAACCCATTATAGAACTCTGATAGTACCCCTAAGAGTCATTCGTAAACAACCCTTTGCAGGAACCTCTTTTACAGTAAGCCAACCATTGCGGAACCCTGATAATCACCCCTTTACAGTATCCTCTCATACCTAGTCTACAGTAATTGCAGGACCCCTTTGATTTAGGGATCCCTTGTAGAACCCTTTAGACAGTAAGCATTGGCCTGGCGTCGCCACCAGCACGACATAACCAGAAGACACGGCGTCCAAGGCTTCGACGTCCTTCGGATTTAGGGCTCCGCCTTCGGATTTAGGGCTCCGCCTTCGGATTTAGGGCTCCGCACTTTAGTGTTGGGGTTTAGGGTGTCAATTGTCTAATAGGGTGTAGGATGCAGGGTATATAGGGTATGGGGTTCAGGGTTTAGGTTGCATAAGAGACCTACGGTTGATGATATAAATCCTGCATTACCCATAATAAGGAATATACCATAATTCCCATAGTTTAGGGTCCTTAAGGTAATGCAGGATTTATATCATCAACCGTAGGATCACGGCTCAAGGATTGTGATTCAGATGCGTGCACAATGGCCCAGATTTGCCCACCGGGGTGCTTCTGTGGCTCTTGACTTAGGGACTGCCCCGAAAGCCCCCAGTCTAAAGCACTTCTCTTATAATGTAGGAACCTGATTAGGAAACCTTGGGCCTTTATTAGGGTTCCTCATATGAACCCTACTGCTTGGGGTTATAAGGCCAGGGATTCTTAATCAGGTTCCTACATTAAGGAATTCAAATCCAGGGAGCCTCTTCTGTGGATAGGGTGGTGCCTTAAGCCTAAGCCTCAAGCACTGAAATCCCAAACTCCAACCCGATGCCTGGAAACCGCAAACCCTCAACTTAAACCTTTGAACCCTCAAACCACACAAGAGGCCCTACTCCCCGATCCCAGAGGGGCAGAAGGGGATATCAAGACGTCTTTCAACTAGACTTCTGAAAGCCCGATATTCCAAGTAGACCCGCACCTTCAACCCGAAAGACCTTCAAATTGAAGTGAAGATGTGAACCCTAAACCCTAAACCCCTGTACCATGAAGTGGTCTGCGACCCCGAAACCCATCCGACGGCCAGCAGTCCTCTTCCCAACTGGAGCCACCTCGGAGCTTGTGGGATTCTGACTCAGGGCGCACTGATGGGGATGTAGGATTGGAGTTGAAAAGAGCAGGGAGTGGATCACTGTCGTCACTGTATGCGAAGTGGCACACAGAGCCATGAGATACGAGCTAAGACTCGGGGCATATTCCGGCTTACTTTATTTGGTGGAGATCATGTACCGGCAGGCCCATAAGGAAGCCTAGAAGCATTGCATAGTAACTTAATTATGGTCTTCGGGCAAAAAAACGCAAACTGTAGTCCCCAGAGCTTTTACAAACGAGCACATCGCTTCCCCATAAGCAGCGCCATTTAGGGCTTCCTGGGTATGCCGTCAAAGCTTCAACAACTCTGGGCCCTGAACAAATCTCAAACTCCCCCAACCTACATTAATCCCCAAATCAACCATCAAACCCCAAACCCCGAACCCGATACTACCCTCAAGCCCGTGGATGGTGCTCTCTTGGGTTCTGGCCCACCATAAGCACTGACCTTGAACTCATAGGTTTCGATTCAGCATTCTAACGTTCCGGCGTGAGACTTATGTAGGGAACCGAGGAGGGGACGACAATCTCAAGGCTTTTCCTTCTTGAAGTTGAGTGTTTTGGGCGTAGGGTTTAAATTTAGGGTTGGGGGATGGAGATTTGAGACCTCAAGCGGGGATTCGTAGAAATTCGGCTTTCCCGTCATAAGGGGGGGCAGGGGGGCTTGTGGTGTTTGAGAAACCCCAAACCCCAAAGCAGTAAAGCCCTAGAAGCCCAAGGCCATAAAGCCCTAAAGGCGAAAGGCGGGCTTGCTTTGGACGTGGAAGGTTGGTGGGAGCCGGGCTCGTTTAAACGGGTTCTGTACGGGCATCTACCAAGCAAGGTGTCTGTATGGATTCCAAGAAGGGTTACAAAAAAAACACGGATTAATTACCTACAAAGGGGGAAATACGAGGGGTTGCGACAAGGGGTTTCGATGCAGGCTAGTCGGATAAGCAATTCAAACAATACAATGTGGACAGAGTTTTTGCAGGTTGCCCAGCCGGCATGCGACAGAGTATCCTGCATCGTTGGGTCGGACTACCTGAACGGAAGACCCCACTGTAAACACACCATTTCCCTGTCCGCTAAAATAAAACTCGGAGAGCGAGCGGTCTTACACCAAGCGTATACTAAAGACACGGATACCCTAAACCGTAACCCAAATGCGAATGGTCAAGATTTGGATTTTTAAACCCCCGACGACAATAAGGAGTTGGAGCCTCGATCCTAAATCAAGGATGCCTTCTCGATGGCTTTCTGTAGTCAGAAACCTACTCTTCAGGGCCCTTCATTTAATTAGGGTTCGTTGCATTGTGAAACACACCATTGGGGTTTAGGGGGAGCTGCGAAACTAAGCCATGACCTACAAGACCAGCCCGAAGTGAAAAGAGCACATCATTGCAGGGAGTAGAGAGGGGTTTAGGGTTCAGGGTACTTGAAGAGGGATCTAGAAAGCAATCATGCTCCAATGATCTCCAAGAGGCTGCAGGGAGGGGAAGTGGCCCGCGAGCTTCGAAGCTTCAGCATGTATCTGCATGGAAAGCTCTCGCCTGCAAGAAAAGTGCACCAGTTGAGGGCCTAGGGTTGCAAATTAGGCTTGAGGATACCAGACTCCATGAGGCCTCTAGAAACTTATGCCTTTCATTGTCGAGTCTTTTGCACGAGCTATGTGAGCCACTTACCCATCGAACAAAGCTGATGCAAAGCTAATACTTCTACGTGACTTGCCTAGGGGCCCGAATCGGGAGCACGGACGAGATGCCCGGCAAGCCTTTGCAATCTATTTTGAGCGCCCTTGCATCGCAGAGTGACAACCAACAGAGACCGACCACGAATGTCAGTCGATCGACTTCAGTATGGTTCCCTACTTGTCGGGTATCATGGGGAACTAAAGGTTAACCTTTTTGGTTATATAGGGATTATATACGGACTGTACTACCCAAAAAAGGTTAAAGGTTACCTACTCTACCACTAGGGTTCTGCAAACTTCCCAGTCGTATCTTTCCGGTAGCTTGCGTCTGATTCGTGAATCGTGCTGGAAAACCGCTGGCTTTGGGAAAGCTATCTGCTGATTTAAAGTCTGCAGACACAAGTTGTGTCAGTAGCAGAAATCACCCTGATCCCGAGGTCGCAAATTGGGAGGATCCCTAAGACACGCCTCCTAAGTTTTCTACACAACACCCTCCCCCCTTTCCCCCCCATACCCCCGAAACAGAAGCGCAACTACATACTCCGACCCAGCCCCCTGTCGAATAATCTACTCTGGCTTCTGCATTAGTTGACTGTTCTCTCATGATTGAACAGCTTTGGTTTAGGTAGACCGCTTAGGGCTTTAGGGCTTGAGCGTCTCAGGGGTTGCCTCGTGGGCCCTCCCGAACTGAACAACCTGAAGACCCGAAGTGTCCGAACCGAAAGGCCGGAAGCAATTGAATGCTATCGGCTTTATGGGAGTTTCCGAAAACAGGGGACCCTAATATGATACACTAAACAGTAGGATCCGTATTAACTATAAGGACCCCTAAAAATAAGGTAACCCCCTCATTTTCGGAAACTCCCATATACCTTCAGACCCGGCAAAGGGTGAAGAGCTGTGGGTATGGTAATGTAGGGGCCTCGATAATTAGAACAGGGTTTCGGGGCCCATCATATTATGATTGTAATCAGGAACCCCCCAAAAAGTATTGGTAATTACCCTGCACTAAACGCTTATAGCAGCCGTTACAGTAACCCTTATAGGAACCCTGCAAAGGAACCCTAGTCTAATTATTAAAACCCCTACATTACATCGGCTTCCAAAAGTGCGATCCAGATGCACAGGGCTCAGGATCAAGATCGCCAGCTCCGCTTCTGAGGGCGGCTCCGCCCGATGGAGACCTCGTCAAAGACGAGACCCCCAAAGGGCCCTTTAATAAAGCCCTTATACCTGGACCCCAAAGAGTATGTATAATTTATAGCATTTTATAGGTTTTGGGCAATTATTTTACCTACTTTTGGGGGTCCAGGTAGTCCCTAATGGTGGGTATGTGGGATAGAATAGCGGGTAGTTGGGGGGCTCTAGAGAGGGCTTGTATTCTTCGATACTCCTGAGCGGTGCGTGGTCGGAGGAACTAGAGATACGGGCCGCGTGCGATCTGAAACCCGAGCCCCTAAGCAGAGGCAATGAATATGGAGCCTAATGCTTTGGAGGAGCTTTGCTACTCGAAATAGGGGACCCTAACATAGTAGGTTCCTTATTATAAGGACCCCAAAATAAGGTACCCCTATATAATTTTCGTAAACTCCCATATTGTCAAGTGGTGTCGAGAACATCGGCGGTGGAGGGCAGAGTTCTGAGCAAAAATGCGGGTGCCCACGCGCTCACCCCTGCAGCCTAGGCCAAACCTTAAACCTTCCAAGGATACGAAATCAGTCCACGTACATGAAGACGCCCCACTAATCAGCCACCTTTGGTTCATGGCCCCAACAATATGATCCTTCTTCTAGATGCCCTTTTCTGGAGTTTGGTTCTTAAACGGAAAACTCTACATCCAAAACCCTTGACAAGCTTTCCCAACCATACTGTAAACCTCTAGGCCCGGAATGCTCGAGGGAAATGGCAGAAAAACACCAAAACTGCAGAACCCAAACCATCCCCAACCTCTGAAACTTACACCCTTAACGCCTGAACTTCACCAGAAGACCCCCCCTCTGTGCCAAACTTTCTAGCTCAAAAGCCCTGAAAGTCGAACCTGGAGCTCCAAAAACCCAAACTCTGAGCCAACCCGCTGAACCTTGCACCTGCTTGAATCAAAAAATCATCACTCCCTGAACCATCTCCAAGCCTAAACCCTGAACCGGTGCAGAACTGTTACGGGAACCTTTAAAAGACATTGATAAAAGCGGCAAACGAATCCAATGAATCCTGAACCCCCATAGACCCCGTCAAAGAAGGCTGCAGAACGCTTGAAGAATCCCTTCTTCAAACCTACTCCTAAGGGAACCCTCCAAAGCAACCCAAACACCAAACCCTCATAGTAACCCTGCCAGTATCATGTATAGAGCCCTAGGAATCCGCAACTCCGCAAGAGCTCATAGTAACCCTGAAAGTAATGCAGAAGTTCTGTTAGATTCCGAAATGCCTGAAATACCGAACCTAAAATCTAGCCAACCTTTTTTGGAACCCGTGCATATGGCCCTTATTAGTAAGCCGTAATTATGATATAGTCATCGCTGTAAAGCCCTTAGTGTCCACATATATAGTTATGCTCATAGTCCTGAATCCTTATAGAACCCTTATCGTACGCAACCCTTGTAGCAACCTTACTGGGAGGTTCATGAGTGGTTATAAGTAGGGTTATAAGTAGGATAACTATAGATACAACCCACATTAGGGGACTTACAACCCCAGTTATAACTACCCATGAACCTCCAAGTATAGTAGCCCTAACATATGCTCACAGGGACCCGAAGCACCCCCTTCAGTCGAGAGGCGGTCCATCGTGGGCAGAAGGAAGCTCAGAGTCTTTCCAGCTCCCGTTTTCGCCCGGACCAGGAGGTTACCTGAGTAAGCGTTGATGCGGGGGGGGGGGGGCTTAGGGCTCGTTTTTTGAAGCTTTAGGGCTTTATAGACTTCTGAAGGGTTTTACAAAGCTGTGATGGAAGGGGTAAACAGCGAGGGTTTAGGGCCTTGGGGAACAGCCAGCCCTGAACCCTAAACTCCCGACCCCAGACGCCGCAAAAACACCCAAGCCTCCACCCCAAACCGAAAACCGAACTCTCAAAGCACTTCAATACATGACGTCCCCTCGGCTACAGCAGCGGGGCGACCAGGCAGCACAAACAACAAAGCAAATCCAAAACCATCAATCCAAGCCCTACACCCTAAACCCAATCCCTAGGCCCTAAAAAAATCCTTGAGCCCTATAAATCCTACATAAACCGTCATAGAGCCCACATCCTAAAGCCTTGCTGCTGCCCTCCAAGATCGATTGGAAGGTCGCTTGTTGCACGTCCTCGGCTGGTCAGCAGCGCTGTAAAGGGTTTTGTCCGGGTTCATGTGAGCGCCTATCTACGGGTTTACGCAAGGGTTCCAGAGGGGCAATGTAACTACAAGGTTTGTTAAGGCCTTCTGTGAAGGATTACAGGTTTGACACTATCTGGACTTTGTTGATTCAGCTCTTCTGTTGCGACACCTCTACGTGATGTCAACGAACCACTCTCGACCTTCCAACTCTAGCACGAAGAATCCGTCGGTCAAGACACAAACGCCAGACACTGATATGTGCCGAAACAGGACGAAAACAATATATATCTGTGCAAGAGCTGCAATCGTGAAAACACAAAAGGCCAGAGGCCCTAGGAATGCCTCACGCAGGCGGATACCCCACTCAGAAATTGCGAGTCAGTCTCTGTCAGCGCCTCGTACCCGAAGGTTTCTCTCATTGCTGCCTGCGGGGATGCAGAGTTGGAAACAGCAGCTTTGGTCTGCCTTGTAATGCTGCACTGCTGTTGGCGAAGTTCCGTTTGCGTCGCTCTCCGAGGCACTGCTCAGGCCTTGCCATACGTTCACTACAAACATAAGTTCACAAACACCGCCTTTCCACCCTTACGGTTGATGATCTGAATCCTGCATTACCCTGAGGAGCCTAAAGTATGGGTATTATGGCATATTCCTTATTACGGGTAATGCAGGATTTGCATCATCAACCGTAGCTGCATGTGCTCTTCACCCCAAGGCGCTGACATAACCATGGAAAGCCGACTCAAAACACCATCCCAAGATACCCTAGAGAAATTGATTTTGGAGGGTCAGAAGACCCTGGTGCAAAAGGAATAGTTCTGGTCATTTTTTCAGGCCCCCACACAAAGACACAATAATCCTGTATTGCCTCCGAAACATGAGAACACATCTTCTGACTTCAACCCAACTTCTGAATCCAAGTCTGCACCTCACCGATGATGCTTCGACATAACCCACTGCTAAGCCCTAGCCACGCCGAACAAAAAATGGCACGTATATCCTAAACCCTAAACCCCTGAACCCTAAACCCTAAACCCCTAAACTCCTAAACTCCTAAACCCCCGAACCCTAAACACCTAAACCCTAAACCCCTGAACCCTTAAACCGCTAAACCCTGAACCCCAAACCCCTAAACCGCTAAACCCTAAAACCCTGAACCCTTAAACCCTACAGATCCCTTAAAGGATAAGGAACCCTCATAGTACCCTTTAAAGGAACCCGACTGAAGCTAAAGGATAGGAACCCGACTGAAGCCCGCAGGCACCTTGCCCTCGTCGGAGAGTCTCAGGTCCTCGAACCTTGTCTGCGTTGGTGCCTCGAAGCTGCGGCTTGGTTTAGGGTGTTTGGGGTTTAGGGTTTAGGGGTTTAGGGGTTTAGGGTTGAGGGGTTTAGGGTTTAAGGGTTTAGGGATTTGGGGTTTCGGGTTTAGGGTTTGGGGTTTAGGGTTTAGGTTTGGGGGTTAGAGTTCACGGCCCAGGAAGGGCTGAGGCTTATCATGACATTTCTGGGTTTGAGGTAGAACTAGTACAGTCTTCTCGTCTTGTCGTCCAGGTTTTCTAGTATTAATAACCCCACCGGGTTCGAATACTGCGGCAAGATCACTCTACATCGGCTAAGGAATGATATTTGCGGGAGCCCAAACGACAAACACCTAGACAAATGTCTTATAGTTTAACTAAACCCTTAACCCTCTAAACCACAAGTCCCAGCTGCGGCTCCAGTTTCTGACCGTCCAACTTATCAAAGCAGCTTGCTTGATCCTTTAAGTAAACCCTACCATATAAACCTAAACCCTAAACCCCAAACCCTGTATCCAGCCTTTACAAACAAACCCAGTAAAGCAGCATAACACCCTGTAGCACTAAAGGTTTAGGTTTCCGGGTAAGACCTTGTGGATCCTTACAGCCGCCTTTATAGTATATTATCCAAGGACATTATAGTATATACAATGTTGTCCTAGGATGTGTATATGTATGTATATAGATATACATATACGGTAGTCCACTAAGCTGTATTATAGTGGCGAAGCATCAAGCCCTGATAGCTTCGGTGTCTTTGGATCCCCCTTCTCCCCTTCGCCGCCTCCACCTGCGAGGTCGCCAACCGCTGGAGCGGCCTCTGAGTTCCGGGCTCTACTGGGGTGGTTGTTAAAATTATGGTCCCTTTTTTGGGTCCCTATTATAGTACGGCACCTATTATTTAGGGTACCCCAAAAGGGACCCTAATTTTGACAACTACCCACTTAAAGGATCAGGGGACTTAGTAAGCCAGGTTTTTAAAGTACTACCCTAGTTGGGGGTTTGTAAGAAGATGCAAACTCCTAGAGCTTGAGTACCATAAGTACATACAAGTATAGTTACCTTACTTACAAGGAAGTCCCCTGATCGGTTCCAGGTCCTGGGTTGTTAAGGTTTCTGGGTGTAGGATTTCATGCTTTGGGATTTTTCTGGAGTTAGATTTTTCGGACTCAGGATTTAGGGTTTTGGGGTTCAGGATCTGGCGCTTTGTGACTTGTAGATTTCGTGATTAGCATTTCGAATGCGGTGCGTGCCTGGAACCAAAAATCAGAAGCCATGGTATAAAAATACTTATACTCTTTTTTGGGGGGTTCCTTCTTATAATTCAAATAAAATGGGCCCCAAAACCCTATTCCATCACCAGTAAGGCCCCTGTATGTAATCACCAAGAGAAGGCTATGCAACCCCAAAGCCCGTCATCCAGACCAACTGTAGCCGAAAATAACCTTCTGCATATGGATGGGAGTTTCCAAAATTAGGGGGTGCCTTCTTTTTGGGTGCTTCCAATAAGGACCCCTGCTATTTAGGGTACTATTAGGGTCCCCCTATTTTCGGAAACTTCCATATTAATTAAGGCCAGATATGAGCAAATCTGACTCTTCGCCGGGGCTACAACTCAACCTTAAGGTAAAAGCCAGAAAGTTGGAATATGCTTGTCCTAAACCCTTTATGGTAAATTAATTATAGGGTATCCTACCCTGAAACCATATTCCAACTTTCTGGAGTTCCCTTTAAATCCGAGAGCCTCTAGCTCTGCAGCCAGCAAAACCATGCCACGATGGAAAAGCATGACTTGGAGACCTCGTAGCCGTACTTCGAGGAAGCCCTAAACACTTCAAGCCCTGAAAACAGTGAGCCCTAAACAAGAAACAGCCAAAACTTGTGAGCGTGTCTATATATAGAAACATACATGCACATATATATACATATATATATATATAGATAAAACATACCCCAGAACAGCAAGAATGACCTAGACCTCTAACCTCAAATCCCCGATAGAAAGAAACCAAGCAGTAACCCCTATAAGGGTCACTTCATACAGTAAGCCCGCTGTCTGCGAGACCGCGGGCCTCCGCAAACAGCTGCCAGCATGACTTTGGCTCTGAACAAAGGGTGGCGCAACGCCTCGGGCGAGGAGCAAAACTCAAGGGTTTAGGCCCGTTTAGGCTGTCGGGTTTACGGTCCGGGTTTTATAGGGTTTAAGGGTTTATAGGGTTTGGGGCTTCGGGGATTCTAGGCTTTAGGGTTTCGAGGTTTTTAGGATTTACGGTTTTAGGGCTTATAGGGCTTTGGGGCATGGATTTTTTTGCGATGTCCTTCAACAACTCCAAAAGCCCTGAACTCACTTTGAAACAGCGGCATCAACATTCTTGAAATGGAAGTAAAACGATTCCTGCGACAGCATTGTCGCACCTGTATCACAAAATGTAAAACCTGATAGTTACCTTCATGCCGCTATATCCTAAACCAGATCCTAAACCTTAAGGGCCAAACCCGAAACCCCAGACCCTAAAAACCTAAGACGTATAAGGCCCTAAAGCCCTGAAGCCCTACACCCTAAGACCCTAATCCCTAAAGGCCTAAACCCTAAAATCACCCTGAACCCCAACCCCTAAACCCTAAAAACTTAATCCCCAAAACTCTATAATCCCTAAAACCTCCCTAAACTCGAACCCCTTAACCCTCAACCCCAAAACCCTATTCCCCAAAACCCTATAATCCCTAAAATACTAAACCCCAAAAACCCTAAACCTCAAACCCTAAAACCCTAAAACTCCAAAAGCCTAAAATCTTAATCCCCCAAACCCTATAATCCCTAAAATCCTCAAGCCTTTCTTGATTTCCCAAGCTGCGCCAGAAAAGCGCCACTGCCGCCGCGCCGAGGCAACGAGCCCGGAGAGACATGGCTCTATATATATATATATATAGAGAGAGAGAGAGAGAGATGTATGTGTGTATATATGTCTCTATGTATGTATGTATGTATGTATGAATGTATGTATATGTATATGTATGTATGTATGTATATATATATATATATATATATATATATATATTAATATGTGTATATATATATATATATATATATATGAATATATAGATATATGTTATGTATGTGTGTATATATATATATATATGTGTGTAGGTTGAGGGTTTAGGTTAGGGTATAAAGTTCAGGGTTTATAGGCTAGGGCTTCTTTTCTTAGGTTAGGGCTTTGGGCTTCAGGGTTCGTGGGTTTGCGGTTTGGGGGGTTTAGGTAGGGTTTAGGGCTTAGGGCCCGCGGGCTCAGGGGTTTAGGGTGGTAGCACTGGGTTTTGAATAAGTTCGTAAGTTGATTGCTCTATAACCCCCTTGTAACCATGGCAAAAATACATGTTTAATATTCTCTTGGGTTGAATATGAACAAACATGAAAAAGTAATTCCTAAGGAGACTATAGTGTTTATGCATGGTCGGATTTGGAGATTACAAGGAGTTGTCAGCAAGCTTCTTGAGGTTGTAGGACGTAGGGGTTTTGGGATGTCTATATTAGGCTATGGGGTTTGGAGTGTAGGGCTTAGAGCTTCTGTAGATTGGGTTCGCTCCTTCCACAGCTTTTAGAGGGACTGAAGCTTAACTCCGGTGGAGATTCAAGGTCCCTAAACCCTAAGCCCAATGTCCTCAAGGCCTACGGCGATTCAGAACGTGATTTCAAGGCTTGCGTTGGCAACTTCGACTTCGGATTCATGTCCAAGTTTGCACTGTTGAGTCTACCACAATAGGCTCCCACTCGAAGAATGTCAAAACCTCCAGAATGCAGTCACTCATAGCCCCAATCACGGTAACAACCCGACGAGCGTGTGGCTCGTTGGTAATCTCGTAGTTCGTGCGGCTGACCACCATGTTGCCACCGACTCGGAACCTGTGCACGCACCCTACGGGCCACACGCAGAAATAGTCATTTTGTTCCACATTCATACCACTCCTGCAAAATACCGCCGAGAACCTTTTCGAGCTGTTTTGGCCCAAGATGTGCCGGCAGGCGGGCCTCTAGCTACTCTAGCTGAACTTGCGGAGTGCGGGCCACGGAGCGGAGTAGGACACTGTGAATTAATTCTGAAGCCGCCCCATGGTTCATGGCATACTCTGCCAGAGACCTCAGCAGATGGACGCGTTAGATCGATGGTTAGAGCCAGTATCATGCAAGTTGAAGGCTGGTAGCCTTGCTAGTGTTACCCCTTTCACTGGGCAGTTAAACAACAAGGAAAACAACCCTAAACCCCCAAACCCTAAACCCTAAATCCTGGGAACCCTGATGACTGAATGTCTCAGGTCTTTGAAGCAGAAGGGCCTGTTGCCAAACTGCCCGCAGAGCTCAAGCCGCGTGTAGCGACGGCGCCTGGGCTGCATAGGAAAGTCTAACATATCCTAAACCCTAACCCTGAAACCCTAAACCCTAGACCTTAAACTCTAAAACTTAAACCCTATATAAGCCCTAAGCCCCTAAAACTTAAGCCGGCGATGCAGTGCTTGGAGGACTGGGGAGCTGACAGCAATGAGAGGTTGGGAGTGGGCACTTCCAATTCATTACGTGTGCTGTAGACCACTAGGATCTTTCTTAAACCTACGTTAGCGGACTCTTTTCCATAAGGGTCTAGGGTTTCAGGGGTTTAGGGTATACTGACTGATCCACTGACTGACAAATAACCCCACCCTACAAGAGGACAATGACAGGGAGGAGTCTAAATGTATTGTTGCAACCTGAGGCTGATCCGCAAAGCATGCTGGAGCGTTGATGTGGCGGTTGACCAGGACAGTAACCAATGAGCAGCAAACTTCCCCTCGCCTAGCCACACAAAACAAACCTACACCCCTGCAAGCGCACCCTATAAACCCTAAGCCCTGAATCCTAAAACCCACCACCGCAAACTGGCTATGAAAATCCTCGCAGTGCGCGAAAAAGGGGGCGCTGCTCGATGAGGGCAGTAGCATGAACTCCGAGCTCTAAGGCCCAGGGTAGAGGCCTGAAAAGGCCTCAAGACCCAGCATAGGGCTTCATCAGGATCTATAAGGGTTCTATGTAATCAGGGGCTTCAATAATCAAATCCTACACTGCTTTACAGGGCATATGATACGAAACCCGAACTACGCTGCGGGACCCCCTAAGGAATTTCTACCATGAACTATTGAGGCTTGTGCATGTAAACCTCACACCGCAAAGCCGAAACCCGAAAGTTCAAATCCGAAACCCGAAAGTTCATGCTCTTTGGGGGCCCACATGCCTTCAAAAGGAGTCCTGACAGCATAGTAGGTCCCTCATAGTATCGGTACCATTTTCCTGCCAGAAGTGCAACCAAAAAGAAAAAGGGCAAACGGAGACTACTAAATAACCTCGAGCCATCAGCCCCACAATCCCGATGAGTCCACTTATGGAAATCTGAAGATGCTAGTCCTTAGCGCCTTACTCGTAGGGTTAAGGCCCAGCGAAGGTTCAGGTGGGTGTAGGGTTGAGGGTTTGCCGTGGGATAGCGCGTAGGCGATGGTATCTTGTGACAAGGTTGTCTCGAATCGTACTTATGCGGTGAGCTCTGTCAAAGCCCATCTATAGAATCTGTAGACGGCTTTTCCTTCTTTCTCTCCCACCCCACGCCGTCGACCACGGCCAAACCACCCAAACATATCCACTCAGGGTTTAGACCTAAACTCATCTCGGATTTCTTCCTACCACTCCCAGGCTGAAGGGCTTGGGGTTTGGGGTAATTACAGCTAAATGCGGGCGCCTTAATCATTAGAATGGGGTTTTGGGGCTCGTTCTACTCTAATTATAACAAGGAAACCCCCAAATTCGTAAAGCCCCTATGGTATGTTATAGAGGTCCCGAGGAGAACCCGTTCCGGTACCGGGTCCGACATGGGGACCTGGAGAGGCAAGCAAGCGTATAGGAAGCCTGATACCCCAATCCCTAAACCCAACCCCAAACCCCAAAACCACCACAACCACCCCAGAGAGGGGGAAGAGGGACGCTCTGTGCTCTGTGCCATCAAGGTCGAGGGGCTTAAGCGCCACCCACCCCCCGAGGTGAAGTGGGCGGCCTGAGCCTTGAGTTTAGGGTTTACTTGGAGGTTCATGGGTAGTTATAAGTGGGGTTGTAAGTCCCCTAGTATGGGTTATATCTATAGTTATCCTGCTTATAACCCTACTTATAACTACCCATGAACCTCCAAGTAGGGTCAGGGTTTAGGGTTAAAGGTACTCCTCAGCCACGGGCGGCGGGCGGATGACCAACTTCCAGACCTGTCGGGGTGAAACAGATTCCTCGAAGGGGTCTTGTGGCGATTTTCGAGGATGTCATCTGAAACGTGCTTGGATCCTCTAATGGTACCAGCTTAAACCTAACCATTGGGTCCATCTACACGACGATTTTCGAACTTTCAGTGTCTCAAAACCATGGATGACAAGGATGGTCTTCTGGGCCCTATGTCATTCCCTGAGACTGCAAGATACAAGTGGTACCTATTTCGCGCAATTGAAAATTGACAAGTAGTGCTGGTACCTATTTCGAGCTATTTCGAGTCATATAAAGATTTCCCAATGGTAGTAGTCTACATACCCCAAACCCTAACCCCCACATGGCCCTTTGGATTCGGGTCTCCAGGCAAGTTCGATCTTTCGTCCTCCGCATTCAGGGTCTAGAGTTTCAATTTGGGGAAAGGGTTTAGGCTTGAATGGTCTGGGGCTTTTAGGCTTTAGGTTTTAACGGTGTGGGGCCTCTACGGTTTAGGTTTAAGGGTGTAAGGCGTACTTGTCGGGTATCATGGGGAAATAAAGGTTAACCTTTTTGGTTATATAGGGATTATATAGGGACTATACTACTCAAAGAAGGTTAAAGGTTGCCTACTCTACTACTAGGAAGGCTTTTCGGCTTTAGGGCCGGGCCCCAGGCAGCCAAAGCCCTCAACCTGAAGCCAAGGCCGGGACAGCGAAGACGTACTCATGGACGCTCAGTGCTTCCTTGCTGGGTAGTTGTCAAAATAGGGGTCCCTTTTTGGGTACCTTAAATATTAGGTGGCGTAGTATATTAGGGACCCGAAAAAAAAGGGACCCCAATTTTGACAACTGCTGGGGGTGGGCGGTGGGGCTTGGAGCAGCGGCTGGAATAAACTGCGGCTTAGGATTCGTGGGATCGTGCATATACATTCAGGTACTAAGTCGATCTAACCGCCGGCATTGACAACACGATCATCGCATTTCGTGTCTATCCCAATCACTAATTGGTAGTGCCAGCGACATATCTTAAGTAGTCAGTCACATGAACTGTTGCAGAGAATGCAACTTCTAGGTTCTACCCGAACAGGCAAGTTTCAGCCGTTACATCACAGAAGACTCTGGTTTGCGGCCAAACATCCAGCGTCATCACGGGCGACTGTAGAGGGGACAAGAGAGAGTTGAGAGACCCGCTAGTCAGCCTCTTACTCCCCGGCACGAGCTGAAAGCGATGAATGTCTCAACATTAGGCAGATATAAGTTCTTAACTGACTCGTATACAGTTGAATTGGATCACCACTTCAACTTAGCTTTGCAAGGTACAATGCCGGATGTATGCAAGGGGAGGGTGCGCGGGCTGTTTGCGAGAAGGAGACCTCATGTTTGTGAGCCAAAATCGCAATGCGGGATTTGTCGGTCATGAACTGTAGAGGTCCACGGGTGGCGAGATCTGGGGTTTAGGGATGGTCCTTGGGTTCTAGAAACAGTATTCACGCATTCTTAACCATGTAGTTATACAAACAAAAACTACTGCATTCCTGGCAAGGTGGGGTGCTCGTCACGGTTCCAGCAGGTATCCTAAACGACCACAGACTCCACATTAATTCAGAATCATACAACGCAGTATAGAGGGATCCTTAAGGTTTGGAGCACACTTGAAG